TTTCTAATGATTAACAATATGTCTTGTGGTTTTGTAATCTGTGTTTGATGTAGGAATGACATTGGGGGAATTGGGGGAAGCTAGCCACATACCCTGCACCAGCCAATATAGCTGTGGTGAAGGAATTCTACACCAATGCAAGGAAGATTGGTGATTATCCAGCTGAGATTACCTAGGCTATGTCAGAGGCCATGCTATTAGGTGTGATCCTGACTCTATCAACAGGTTCTTGGGTACTGAATGTGTTGGTGAGTAGTGTCAATTTGCTCTATGTATGGAAGAAGGCATTGATTTTAATGATGTGGAGAGTGTTCTATGTGTACCTGGAGGACATTTTCAAAGGAAAAGAACTGGTTCTATGGTGAACATTAGGAGGATTGACTTGAACCCTCTTGCAAAGTATTGGATGGCATTTTCTCATGCCAACATTCAACCATGTTCTCATGTTTCAGACATCACTCTTAGAAGGGCACTCCTCCTCTACTGTGCGATCAGGAATTTGAATGTCAACATTGGACAGGTAATAGCTAATGAGATATGGATGTGTGCTAACACAATAAACAGCAAAGCACCCTTAGGACATCCTTCTTTGATCACACACTACAAGATAGCTGGGGTGGATACTTCTGCTCCACCATTTGAGAGCCCAAGGAAAGCAATTGATGAGGCTTATTACAGACAATACTATGGAGGTGATGAGGCATCTCAGCCAGTTCCACCACGCCGTCCTCACAGAGAAAGAGGACAAGCACAGAGTCTGGCATCTGCAGAGACACATGAAGTAGAGCCTTTCCACATGAGGGACATGTATATGTTTCTTATAGGTGCACAGTTGCAGTCTATCCACCGAGGGCAGGTGGCCCCTATTGAGATGATTGTTGGAATGTATGATAAACCTCCAATACACAGGTGGACTATGGATGAGTTCCATAATGTGGTAGCATGGCCAGAGGAGCAGGCTCAAGGCGGCAGAGCTGAAGCAGCTGAAGCTTCAGCCATGGAGAAGGATGAAGATGATGCTGAAGATGACACATTTGAGGATGCTGAAGATGAGGAAGAGGAGGAGGATACAGATGACAGTACAAACTGATGAGGAGTTGAGATAACATTTAATGATGGATGCTATCAACACTAGAGCAGGATTTATTTTATGCTTTTGTTTGGTTTATATTATTGAACTTATTTGCTTCTGTTAGTAGAATAGGGTTTGATGTACTCAATTGGAAACTTTGTCTGTTATGATGGTTTGCTTATGATTGTTGTGTGGTAAGTAGTGCTTGATGATGCTTTGATATTGATTGATGTTGAGATTGTGCACATTATATGCTTATACAGGTGGTTCACAAGCCTTGTGAACAAATGCATGATGCTGTGATTGTGATTATGATACTAAGCAGGATGTGTATATGTGGAATGTGAATGAGCTTATATATGAGGCTTTGAGCTCTAGAGTTGTTTTGATTGAATGCTATTACTTTGAAAGTATGAATGGCTTTGCCCAGGTTTTCTATGATTGAATCAATTACTTGTTTGCATCATATGATCAAGGCCATTTGTTGGTAACCCTTTTATTAGCCAAATGCATGATTTTAGCCCCACAAAAGAGAGGACTATGTGTTCTATCCTTTGAACCCTTAGCCTTGAACATGATTTGAAAAACATAGTATTGTTGTTGGGGAATCAATGTAATCGTTCGCTTGAGGACAAACAAAATTCTAAGTTTGGGGTTGTGATAACAGTTGAAAAACTGTTATTTTCATGCTTAAAATTGATACTAAAAGCAACCTTTAACACTTATAAACTAGCTTGGAATCATGTTTTTGCTGGAAATAAGAGAGTTGGACAGGTTTATGCTTGATTTCAGTGTTTTATGCAGATTTTAAGGTGAATTTAATGAAAGAAGTGAAGAAGGATATAGATGGAATCATAAAAGAACTCAAAAAGTGCAAAAGAAGAGAAGCCGCAAGTACCGCTCAGCGCCATGTTACCGCTGAGCGGCACTACTTAAGACTCATTGGCACCGTTGAGGGGTGAAAGTGTAACTGAGGGGAAGAATTCAACACACGCACTTACCGCTGAGCGCAATTATTTTGGGCTTGGGCCTACTTTTCTGTAATTTTTAGAATAGTATATAAGCTTTAGGACGTCCTAGGGTTTGTATCTTTGGCTGGGAGGAAGCAAAAACACACTTTTCACCCCTTAGGGGTAGATTGAGAGATGGTGACGACTCTCCTCTTCTCTTTCTAGGGTTTTTCTATCTCTTCCATTCTTTCATTATTGTTCATCTAGTTTCACCATAAATATGGTGAACAAAACTTTGTATTGTTGTTGGAGAATCAATGTAATCGTTTGAAGCTCTCATATATGGAATCTTGTGTTTAAACATCATATTTATGATACATGCTTTCTTTCATCATTAGTTAGGGTTTTTCCTCTTTGCTCAAAGCATGCATTGTTTAACTCATTCGATGTCATGATTACTGGTTTTATTGATATGGACACATACGGTAAAATCTAGATCCGGGGAAACTCTCCCAACAGTAGTATAAACCTAGACATAGGAATATGATGGTTGGTTGCCGTTAAGCTTCCCTTCACTATAATGCATGATTAATTGCTAGGGAGACAAGACATTGTAAACTAGTGATTATGATTAGGCTTTCTTCGCCGAGACATCGGGTTTAAGGTAATTTAGAGAGTGACATTAACATTGATGAAAAGAATGATGAATTCCTAAAATATATGAGAATGGATAAGATGGAATTGATTGCCCCAACAACATACTCATCCACATATTTCAACTCACGGGCTTTGTTTCTTCTTTCCCATTGATCATCACATGCATACATGTTTATTTTTTGTCTTTTGCATTTGAAACTTATAACAATTTGTTCTCAAGTCTTAAATAATCAAGAAATCATATAACTAACTAGGCTGTGAGTCCTTTGGGAGAACGATACTCACATCAGCATAATAAATAAGAAGGAGGAAAAACAGTCTCGGACCCAGATACCGAAACAATTTCTATTAGTTAGAAGACTCTAAAATTGTTGTTCAATCTCTTCTAATAGTGTAAATTATGGTGTCAAAAAGTAATAATCCGGTAAATGAATCAATTGAAGCTCCATAACAATAGGGATTAAAATGAATTTTGTTTAAATAAATACACCAAAAAAATTAAAACACAAACCGATACTAATATATAGAAAAACTAAATAAAAATTGCAGCTTTGGGTTCTATTTGTTATAACGACGTCGTTTTCAGCAAACTCACTATCGGAGGTACCATCGTCCATGGGAGGTACCATCGTCCATACACGTAACACGCTTCCTGCGGTATCGGGTAATACAAAAAAAAAAAAAAAAGCTACAAATTTCATCAACGGCTTTTATTGATCATATATCCTAGTAAAACCGTGACCGTTGATGGACTAATGGCTCTCACAAATCTTGTTCTCATTTTATTATTTACTCCCACAACCACCTTTGTTTCTCTTTCTCCGTTTTCCTAATTTTCAATTCAATCACCACTGATCTAAGGTANCCACCACGCCGTCCTCACAGAGAAAGAGGACAAGCACAGAGTCTGGCATCTGCAGAGACACATGAAGTAGAGCCTTTCCACATGAGGGACATGTATATGTTTCTTATAGGTGCACAGTTGCAGTCTATCCACCGAGGGCAGGTGGCCCCTATTGAGATGATTGTTGGAATGTATGATACACCTCCAATACACAGGTGGACTATGGATGAGTTCCATAATGTGGTAGCATGGCCAGAGGAGCAGGCTCAAGGCGGCAGAGCTGAAGCAGCTGAAGCTTCAGCCATGGAGAAGGATGAAGATGATGCTGAAGATGACACATTTGAGGATGCTGAAGATGAGGAAGAGGAGGAGGATACAGATGACAGTACAAACTGATGAGGAGTTGAGATAACATTTAATGATGGATGCTATCAACACTAGAGCAGGATTTATTTTATGCTTTTGTTTGGTTTATATTATTGAACTTATTTGCTTCTGTTAGTAGAATAGGGTTTGATGTACTCAATTGGAAACTTTTCTGTTATGATGGTTTGCTTATGATTGTTGTGTGGTAAGTAGTACGTGATGATGCTTTGATATTGATTGATGTTGAGATTGTGCACATTATATGCTTATACAGGTGGTTCACAAGCCTTGTGAACAAATGCATGATGCTGTGATTGTGATTATGATACTAAGCAGGATGTGTATATGTGGAATGTGAATGAGCTTATATATGAGGCTTTGAGCTCTAGAGTTGTTTTGATTGAATGCTATTACTTTGAAAGTATGAATGGCTTTGCCCAGGTTTTCTATGATTGAATCAATTACTTGTTTGCATCATATGATCAAGGCCATTTGTTGGTAACCCTTTTATTAGCCAAATGCATGATTTTAGCCCCACAAAAGAGAGGACTATGTGTTCTATCCTTTGAACCCTTAGCCTTGAACATGATTTGAAAAACATAGTATTGTTGTTGGGGAATCAATGTAATCGTTCGCTTGAGGACAAACAAAATTCTAAGTTTGGGGTTGTGATAACAGTTGAAAAACTGTTATTTTCATGCTTAAAATTGATACTAAAAGCAACCTTTAACACTTATAAACTAGCTTGGAATCATGTTTTTGCTGGAAATAAGAGAGTTGGACAGGTTTATGCTTGATTTCAGTGTTTTATGCAGATTTTAAGGTGAATTTAATGAAAGAAGTGAAGAAGGATATAGATGGAATCATAAAAGAACTCAAAAAGTGCAAAAGAAGAGAAGCCGCAAGTACCGCTCAGCGCCATGTTACCGCTGAGCGGCACTACTTAAGACTCATTGGCACCGTTGAGGGGTGAAAGTGTAACTGAGGGGAAGAATTCAACACACGCACTTACCGCTGAGCGCAATTATTTTGGGCTTGGGCCTACTTTTCTGTAATTTTTAGAATAGTATATAAGCTTTAGGACGTCCTAGGGTTTGTATCTTTGGCTGGGAGGAAGCAAAAACACACTTTTCACCCCTTAGGGGTAGATTGAGAGATGGTGACGACTCTCCTCTTCTCTTTCTAGGGTTTTTCTATCTCTTCCATTCTTTCATTATTGTTCATCTAGTTTCACCATAAATATGGTGAACAAAACTTTGTATTGTTGTTGGAGAATCAATGTAATCGTTTGAAGCTCTCATATATGGAATCTTGTGTTTAAACATCATATTTATGATACATGCTTTCTTTCATCATTAGTTAGGGTTTTTCCTCTTTGCTCAAAGCATGCATTGTTTAACTCATTCGATGTCATGATTACTGGTTTTATTGATATGGACACATACGGTAAAATCTAGATCCGGGGAAACTCTCCCAACAGTAGTATAAACCTAGACATAGGAATATGATGGTTGGTTGCCGTTAAGCTTCCCTTCACTATAATGCATGATTAATTGCTAGGGAGACAAGACATTGTAAACTAGTGATTATGATTAGGCTTTCTTCGCCGAGACATCGGGTTTAAGGTAATTTAGAGAGTGACATTAACATTGATGAAAAGAATGATGAATTCCTAAAATATATGAGAATGGATAAGATGGAATTGATTGCCCCAACAACATACTCATCCACATATTTCAACTCACGGGCTTTGTTTCTTCTTTCCCATTGATCATCACATGCATACATGTTTATTTTTTGTCTTTTGCATTTGAAACTTATAACAATTTGTTCTCAAGTCTTAAATAATCAAGAAATCATATAACTAACTAGGCTGTGAGTCCTTTGGGAGAACGATACTCACATCAGCATAATAAATAAGAAGGAGGAAAAACAGTCTCGGACCCAGATACCGAAACAATTTCTATTAGTTAGAAGACTCTAAAATTGTTGTTCAATCTCTTCTAATAGTGTAAATTATGGTGTCAAAAAGTAATAATCCGGTAAATGAATCAATTGAAGCTCCATAACAATAGGGATTAAAATGAATTTTGTTTAAATAAATACACCAAAAAAATTAAAACACAAACCGATACTAATATATAGAAAAACTAAATAAAAATTGCAGCTTTGGGTTCTATTTGTTATAACGACGTCGTTTTCAGCAAACTCACTATCGGAGGTACCATCGTCCATGGGAGGTACCATCGTCCATACACGTAACACGCTTCCTGCGGTATCGGGTAATACAAAAAAAAAAAAAAAAGCTACAAATTTCATCAACGGCTTTTATTGATCATATATCCTAGTAAAACCGTGACCGTTGATGGACTAATGGCTCTCACAAATCTTGTTCTCATTTTATTATTTACTCCCACAACCACCTTTGTTTCTCTTTCTCCGTTTTCCTAATTTTCAATTCAATCACCACTGATCTAAGGTACTTCCCTATCTCTCTTGTTTCCATTCTATTCACCGTTGATTTTCTGTGTTAGGATCCCCTTTTACCCGATTATAGCATGGTTGTTTTGGAAGCATGGTGCACTTCATGTTTTGGATTTTTGTTGGTTGGTGTGTTGGAATGTAATCATTGATTAAGGTTTGGTATTTTGGTTCTGGGTACCCTTCGTCTTGATCAGTGGGAAATATATTTGGAAAAAAAGAACAAGACAAGCAAAATTATTAAATTCAGTGTTATCCTGATATGGTTTTGGTGCATAAATAATAACACAATTAAACATATCTAAAATAAGTTAAGCAATATTTGGTAATCAAGAAGCAAAAATTACTTTTTTTTATTTAATTTCTATTTGTATTGTCAGAAATAAATAAAAGTATAACTTAATTCTTTTTACTTTGTATCTTCAAACATTAGCAAAAAAAAAAAGTATTTTGATACTTTTAGCGTTTTTTTGTATGGTATAAATAGGCAACAGAACTGCAAAAGTGTGAAGAGAATTAAACATGCCCTAAATGCTTGTTACTGTGAAAATAGAAACGTTGTTGTCAACTGTTTGACCCTGTATAGTGATTTGTGAATAATGTGTGTAAATTATTGATGTGATCCTGATTGTTGCAGCTTTTCTTCTGTATATTATTGATGTACAAAGTTAACTAGTAACTGATTTTTCCTTTGACTTTTGTTGTTAAATATTACCCAACTAATTTATTTGATCTTTGAGTATTTAGACATGTCTTCATCTGATAAGCCACACGTGGTGGAAAGGGGTGCTAAGGATGATGAAAAGAAGAAGGAAGAGGATGGAAAGGGTGGATTTCTTGATACAGTGAAGGATTTCATTTCGGACATTGGTGAGAAGATTGAGGAAGCAATTGGATTTGGGAAGCCAACTGCAGATGTTACAGGGATACACATTCCTTCAATCAATCTTCAGAAGGTAGACCTTGTTGTTGATGTTCTCATAAAGAACCCAAATCCGGTGCCAATACCCCTAATTGACATAAACTACTTGATTGAGAGTGATGGAAGGAAACTGGTTTCAGGGTTGATACCAGATTCAGGTACAATTCATGCACACGGAGAGGAGACAGTGAAAATTCCTCTTACTTTGATTTATGATGACATCAAGCAAACATATGCTGATATTAAACCAGGAAGCATCATTCCTTACAAGGTAAAGGTTGATCTCATTGTTGATGTTCCTGTGCTTGGAAGGCTCACTCTACCCTTGGAGAAAAATGGAGAAATCCCCATTCCATACAAGCCTGATGTTGATCTCGATAAAATTCAGTTTGAGAGGTTTTCTTTTGAAGAGACAGTTGCTATTCTTCATTTGAAGTTGGACAACAAGAATGACTTTGACCTGGGCCTCAATGCACTTGATTATGAGGTCTGGCTTGGTGATGTTAGCATTGGTGGTGCTGAACTCACCAAGTCTGCTAAAATTGAGAAAAGTGGGATTACCTATATTGATATACCAATTACCTTCAGGCCTAAGGATTTTGGCTCTGCACTTTGGGACATGATCAGAGGACGGGGGACAGGTTACTCCATTAAAGGACATATTGATGTTGACACTCCCTTTGGAGCAATGAAATTACCCATCACCAAAGAAGGAGGTACTACCCGGCTCAAGAAGAAGAAGGAAGATGGTGGAGATGATGATGATGATGAGGTTTGTTAACTTCACTCTAATTTATTTTATTTTTTGCATGTTCTGCATAAAATCTCCCGCATTTTGATGTATCACACAGTTGTGGAAAATAAAGGGTGTCAAATGAGTGTTTTCATTGTTGTGGTGTCAATCATTTTTGCCTCAGGGTGTTTACGCTGTTGGCCATAAATATCGTGTTCTATCTTTAGACTTCATCATCATTGGAGTACTTTTACAGCACCGCCTAATATCATGAGCATATACAGATTTAACTATTATCACATTCATTACTTAAAGATTGTGTTTTGAATTCAAGTCTATAAAACTTGTCTGGTAGTTTCAGTACAGTATAGATATAGTAGTGATTTTCGTAAACAAGTTAACTACAAAAATTCCGATTGGTTGGAAAGCTGAAATGAATTTAGTGAAGATTTTGTTCGCTGAAAACCATCTATTAAAAAGAAAAAGAATAGAATAAGTTATAGGGTGTTTTTCAAATCACTCTTAAAGGAGATTCCTTTAACTGTGAAGATTAGCTACTCGGTTCTGTGTTTCTTCTGCAGTAATTTTGTTGTGCTGTAAATTTAAGCCTTTAATATTTTCTTTTGCAGGAATGAAGAAGAAATTGCTACTTCTGCAGTAATTTTGTTATGCTGTAAATTTAAGCCTTTAATCTTTTCTTTTACAGGAATGAAGAAGAAATTGCTGCAAGTTATTAGTATAGTATCTGTTATTTAGTTTACGGGGTCCATTAGAAAGTTAAGCAAAAGGGATATGAACTTATGTGTTAATTTTTTTAGTCCTACATAAACTGTGATTATGTACCTTTTTTCTAAAAGGCTATAGGGAAGATCGTGTTATAGTGTTCTGCAATTGATGTCATCTATAAAATATAGTGTGTAATTGTAATACCCAAGTAGTCCAACAATGTATATTCTGTAGATGTTATTCAATCTATATTATGTAATGTTCGAATTTTATTTAATGGCATACTTTTTTTATGTCATAGTTATGGTTCACTAAATTATTGTACTAATATTTTGAAATATACATACTTAAATTGAGGCTCTCTTACCTAATACACTCATTTTTTAGATTGGATTAATAACTAAGTCTTTTTTTTAATTGAAAGATGAGTTATAGAAAAAATTTACCTATATGTTGTGTTAAAGTAGAGATCAAAAACTGATAAATAAGGAAGTTCGGTAGACAAAAAGATTATCATCTTGAAATTCTTCAACTGAACAAGTTTTTCTTTGACATTTTCTTCTTTTAATTTTAATCCTAATTTTATTTTTTCTTTTTATTGGAAGTGAGTAATTCACCAGAGTCTGGTATGGTCATAGCTCATTTATCCGTTCAATTCGTGAATGTCAGATCAGTTATCACATGCTATGAGGTTAAGAGCAAGAAATCATTGTTTATGATAGGAATGCTATTCTTGATAATCACGAAAGTGGGGTTTATCAATTTCATCCTATCCTATGCACTTTCATGTATTCTAGAATTCGTCTTTCTTCATTAATTGTTAATATCACTTTATAAATTACCTTAAACCCGATGTCTCGGCGAAGAAAGCCTAATCATAATCATTAGTTTACAATGTCTTGTCTCCCTAGCAATTACTCATGCATTATAAAGAACAGAAGCTTAAAGGCAACCAACCATCATACTCCTATGTCAAGGTTTATACTACTATTGGGAGAGATTCCCCAAATCTAGATTTCCTCGTATGTGTCCATATCGACAAAATCAATAATCATGACATCGAATGAGTTAAACAATGCATGATTAGAGCAAAGAGGAAAAACCCTAACAATTAATGAAAGAAAGCATGTATCTTTAAAAGATCTTGAAGAACAAATTCAATACATGAGAATTTCAAAGGATTACATTGATTCCCCAACAACAATAAAGGTTTAGTTCACCATATTCATGGTGAAACTAGATGAAATAAAATGAAAGAGTGGAAGATAAAACCCTAGAAAGGTGAGAAAGGAGTTGTAGCATCCAAAATCCTCCTCCAAGGGGTGAAAGAGTGTGTTTCTGCTTCGTTCCAGCCAAAGATCCCTGACCTAGTTTAACTAAAACCTTATATAGTATTCTAAAAATTACAGAAAAGTAAGCCCAAGCCCATAAGAATGCCGCTCAGCGGTAAATACTACTTAGCGGTAAGCGCGTGACTGTTATTCTACCCCTCAGCTACAGTTTTGCCCCTCAACGGTGACTGCGGGTCTTTAAAGTGCCGCTCAGCGGTAAATGGCGCTGAGCGGTACTTGCGACTTCTTCTCTTAATGCACTTTTTCTTCCTTTTCTGAATCCAACTCCTAGCTCATTTACTTCTTTCACTCAATTCATCTCAAAAACCTGCAAAAACAAGGAAATCAAGCATAAAACATGTCCAACTCTCTTATTTCCAAAACTTCAACAAAAACATAATTCCAAGCTAACTTCTAAGTCATAAGGGTTGTCTTTAAGGTCAAATTCAAGTGTAAAAATAACAGTTTTTCAACTGTTATCACTGAGCGATAATTACTGCTGAGCGCCATTTTAATGGGCCTTGGGCCACTTTTCTGTAATCTTTAGGAAACTATATAAGGTTTTAGTCGACCTAGGGTTAGTATCCTTTGGCAGAACGAAGCAAAATCACACTTTCTTCACCCCTTGGAGGAGGATTTTGAATGCTCAAGCTTCACTCTTCAAATTCTAGGGTTCCATCTTTCATTCTTTCATTATT